ATTTATATAAACAAGGATCCATTCATTAATAACGGATCTGGAGGTTTTTGTATACTATTTGAATTGTTTGCGATGATGGATGTCTCGCCATTTAAATCATTAACCTTTGCATTAGTTTTGTGTGAATAATTCATGTATTTGTAAATTGATTGCACGTTTATTGTAATTTAAATAATTATATATATATTTATATTTATTTATATTTATATACACACACTTTTTCATATATATATATATATATATATATATATATATATATATATATATATATATATATATATATATATATATAGATAGATAGATAGATAGATAGATAGATAGATAGATAGATATGCATGTATGTATGTATGTATATTGTATCAAGGTGTGAGTGCGTCGGCCGGTAAACAAAATAAACACTAATTAAAAAACAGAGCGTCTACTCAAATGCGGGTGTCTAATAAAAAAAAATTGAAGTAATAAAAATAAAATGAAAAAATAAAATCCATTAATTTTTTATAAAATTCTTACTTTACGTTTCAGATCCGAAACTTAGCAGATATGGCTTTCGGAATCCTCTGAATGAGAGATTTGGAATTAAGGCAAACAAAACCATGCTTCACTGCGAAGCTTTCCGTAGCCAAGTGGTCAAAGTATGTCGGATAAGATAGTGGGTTCTCTGAAAAGAAGTTTTCAATTTCAAATCCTGTCCATTTTTCTTAATAATTTTTCTCGGTAGACGAAATAAACACTGTTTAAAATATGGAGCGTCTAATCAAATATGGGTATCTGCTAAAAATAATGTTTGAAGAAATTGAAATATATAAATTCCATTAATTCTTTAGACATATATATATATGAATATGGAAATATATAGAAAATAGGAAAGAACTCGTTAGGTAAATAATCCAAAGTTCTTTAGTATTTTTGTTATTATTTTTTAAAAAGAGCTTACTTTAATTCAATTTAATTCAAATAATTATATTGAAGTTTTCGGCTCTTGTTTTGAAACATGAGACCTCTTATGTAGCGTGTTGGAATCATATTTTTAAATAAATAATCATATATATATATATATATATATATACATATATATATATATGATTAATACAAATATAAAATTTGTCACTTAGCTAATTGATGTTATTTTCGGCATCTCGATTCTAAAGACTGACTCCCCTGAAATCGCTCCATCCACTCGTCAGGAGATATCAGCAGTGTATATATATATATCATACTTATTATAAAATCCAGGTTGTGTGTATGTGTGTGTGTGTGTGTGTGTGTGTGTGTGTGTGTGTGTGTGTGTGTACGTTTATATAATAGATCGGATTTCCAACATTTTTCAACCGATTTTGACAAAACTTCACAGGACTACGTAAAATTACCTTGCGGTGGTTCTGACAGCGCCAAAAATTGGAAAAACACAATTGTTTTTGCACGAAATCAATTTGAAAACACGATTAAGAGGCATCATGAGAATGAAAGGGGGACAACTCATATCGAGTTATACTTATTATAAAACCCTGGTTGTTTGTGTGTGTGTGTGTTCGTTTATATATGGGATCGGATTTCCTACATTTTTCAACCGATTTCAACAAAACTTCACTTTTTTTTGGCAGGTAGTGTTTCTTATTGTCTTGCACACTTTTTCTTTTTTTACATTCAGAATGCTTTTAAAATTCCTTTTACAAGACAATTGTTTACAATAAAATTCTATTCAATCGGTAGACTCATAACGATTGAAAACAATGTTTTTGTTTGAGTTTGACCAATTCGTAAAAAAAAACTAATTAAGACATGCGTGTCCGTCAACCTTTGTCAATTTTATTTTTCAGTCTTTATGATGCTCGATACTTGATCTATCTCTTACTGTTACATCCCCGGGCGCTACTGCCAGTATATATATATATACATATATATATATATATATATATATATATATATATATATATAACTAAAATAAATCCTAAAGAGCCAGGAAAACCTACCTAGGTTTCACCAAAACGGATCTTCATGATAAGCTTAAGCAGGGTAGTTATTCCCGCTCTACTTAAAGTATTGAGCACTCTACGTTTTAGTCTTAATACTCGCTTGTTTTTTTTTTTTCTTTGAACTAAAGACTTAAGGCTCTTATCTACAAGTTGAGCTATCAGAGGTTTTTTCCAAACGAGTATTACCATTAGTATATATATATATATATATATATATATATATATATATATATATATATATGGAAAAGAGAGAGAGTGAAAGAGGGAGAGAGCGAAAGACAAACAGACAGAGAGATATGTCCATGATCTGTTGTCCAATCTTCATGTAAAACATGTCATAAGTAAAGTGTATCTGGGGTTCGTTTCTTGGGCAGAACCTTCTTACAACACTAATGAACACATACCCTTGGAAAAATCCTGTGAAAACCCCTCCCCTCATTAAACCTAACGTGTCCATTTTGCTTTCGTGGAAAAGAAAATAAAGAACATTATCTATTCAGGGGAAGTCGTATAATTATCGCCCATCAATGTCATTAGGATTGTAATCTCGAAAGAAGCAGCAACTATTTTGTTTTTTGTTTTGTCTGCTGTCTCTAGTCTCACTTTCTTTTTCAATTTTCGTGATGTTAATCTCAAAATTCAGCATGAAAATCACTTCGTCTTGTTAGGTTCATGTAAGTTTTGTTTGTGATTCTCTTACGGTCGCAAAACTATGATAACTGGCAAAAGAAAATTCTCTCCGTTAGTTTCTTCAATCATGACCCTTGACTCCTAAGAACTATATGGACTTAAATATATATATATATATATATATATATATATATATATATATATATATATATATATATATATATATATATACATACGTTTCGTAGTCGTCGCTTCGCAGCCGCTGTTTCGTAACCACCGTTTCTAAGCCAACGTTTCGCAATTACTGTTTCGCAGATTCCATTTCGCAATCGCAATTTCGAAACTAGCGTTTCGTGGCCGCCATTTCAAAGCCAACGTTTCGTAGTCGTCGCTTCGCAGCCGTCGTTTCGTAGTCACAATTTCGAAAGCGCCATTCAAAAAAAGAATGTCGAAGCCGTTGCAAGAGTTTTTGGTGTAGTGAGAACATTTCCTCAAAGTAATCCAATTGAATACTTTCAGGTAATTGCAGATAAATTGTATTATTGTATATATATATATATATATATATATATATATATATATAAACACTTCAAATACCTTGGTGCATGTATTAGTTATAACCAATTTGGAATAGGATATAAGGACAATGAGAATAGAATAGGCTCGTTTAGGGAAAATTTCGCCCATCACCGCAAACTGATAGGAAACCAAAACATTAATCTTAAAACTCGAGTCATATCCTTAACTAGTCTTGTCTTTCAAGACATCTATTCGCCAAATACGTTCAGGAATATCTAACCTGTCAGCTGCATACATCTGCTTTCTCGAATCAATGATAAAAAAAAAATGGCTACGAAAAAAATGAAGCCTGGGAGTCTTAGCGAGGACCATTCTTTTTAGAACCTTGTGGACTGGCGCTACACGATCACAAACAAAATACATTACAGGATAACGGAAACCACGTCAACTGAGAATTTTCAACAACTAAAATGGATAGTGTGTGTCGCTTGAAAAGAAAATAATGACATAGTATGTTGACTTTCCACACGACTTCAAACAAAAAGTTAGGAAGGAAGCCACCATCAATACGGAAAAGAGTGATAACAACTAATGGACGTGAGAAACCTATTTTCATGAAAAAATTTTTTAACCAAAACTTTTTATAGATATGAACCAAAAGCAGTACTAGATGATTGATCAATAAATTCCGAATGTTTTTTTATAAGTAAGTTACCATTATTTTTAGAAATAAGGAGAACAGATACTACACTTTGATCCTAGCCATATGGCCAAGGAGTAAATAAAAGCGTCACTCGACGATTATTTGCTCGGTTAAGGAATGCCGAATGTTATAAGAAAATGGCTATTATCATTACTATTAGAAATAAAGAGGACAGATTCTACACTTTGATCCCAGCCCGATGGACAAGAAGTAAAAATAAATCATCACTCAAGGATCATTTGTTTCTCGGTCAAATAAACGCTGAATGTTTCCTTATAAGGAAACGGGTTTATATTAATATTACAATTTAAACGTTATTGGCAAAAGAAAATAAATGATCGTTTATTCTGCTGTCCTCTTCTCAAATTGATATTCTTACTTTAAATCTTACGTTTTACATTTTTCGAAAATGTAGAACACCCGGTGAGGATCGAACTCACAACTCAGTTTTAGTAATGTTCTAAGCGTAACTTAGATGTGGCACAAGGCCAAAAGTGTAGAGCACCCAGTTCGGATCGAACTTATTAATCAGTTGTCGTAGTTTTCTACGCGTAGCTTAGATGTGGCAGAAGAGCGAAAGTCACGTGGGGGTGTACCCAGTGAGAAGCGAACTCATTATTCGGTTGTAATTGATCTCGCGAGACAAGCTTTCTAACGCCGAAGTGCTCTCCTATATTTGTTTACAGACATTAATGGTCGTCGAACTTTTGATAAGTCGAGTTACCTTGAATCTATTTCGCCACTAAAATAGCGTCAACAGTTCACAAGTATATATAGATCAAGCCAGGAAAAAAAGAGCTATTAACATGAGCAGAATCTATGAATGGTTCTCTTTGTATGACTTAATCTTTAATATGGCGGCGCTTCCGGTTCGTTTTGTGTTATTTTTAATGGTTATGACGCGTACATATTAAGTGTCCATCGTCAGTCGAATTGTGATAGCGCTGGAAAATACTAGTTGCCCAGAAAATATGAAATGTGTGGGCCAAAATATGGATATCATTTTTTTTTTTTTTAGTCTAGAAGGTTAATTTTCTGCGCGCTTGTTTCTCCGGGAATATTGATATACTATTTTAGATCTATAGAAATGGGGAAAAGATATTTCTTTTTAAAGAAAAAAAGTCATTCTTTTGTCTTTCTTTTGTCCATTAGGAAATGATTTACGGTTTCATCTTATGATCCTTCGTTTTCATAGTCGTTCTTCCTCGGTCTTTCATTCCATCGTTCATCTTTTAGCCTTTCACTTTCTTTCTCGCTTTCATCGGTCTATCTCTCTATCTCTTGTTTCCTGCTTCACCTCCTCCCTTTCCTCTTCCTTCGTATTTTTGTCTCACTCCTTCTACGCTTTCTTTCGCTTTCTCATCCTCCTTCCTTCGTTTGCTATTCCCTATCTTCGTCCAGCTACTCATCTCTTTTTAATCCTCGTCCCCTACCTCGTCTTTATTGTTCTTCACCCCCCTCACTTCCTCGCTGTTTTTCCTTTGACTCTCCTCTTATCTTCCTCGCTTTTCTCCTCTCTTATTCCTCGCTTTTCTCTCTTTCTATTCCTCCTTCGCTCTGTCACACTACTTCCCTTCCTGATCGCCCTGCTGTCTCGCCTCTTCCTCGTCTTGCTTTTTCTTTCTTATTCCATCTCTATCCAGTTTTTCTCTTTTTTTCTCTTCATTTTCCGGCTCTTCGTTCCTATTCTTTTTTCCTTTTTCTCCCCTTCTATCTCTACATTCCTTTCTCGTCGTCTTTCTTTTCTCCTCCCTTTCTACTCTTTCTGGTCGTCCTACGCTACGCCTCTTCCTCCTCTTTTCAACTTCGTTTCCTTTCTCTAGACCTTCTCGTCTTTCTCTTACTCCTCTGCCTTCTCCTTTTTCTAGCTTTCCACATCGTCACCGACGTCTTATCGTTGCCTTTTTCCTCCCATTTCTTCACTTGCTCTTCCTCTCTTTCTCTTTCTTATTCACCACAGCCAATCCCCCTTTTTCTCTCTCTCTCTCTCTCTCACACACACACACACACACATCTTTATTCACACACTTCTTTTTAATTTCTACCTCTTCCTTCTTATTTACTCCCACCTACTCCTACTTATCGATATTTCTCTCTTTAATTCTCTTTATTTCCCGTCTTTCTCTCTCTCTCTCTCTCTCTCTCTCTCTCTCTCTCTCTCTTATATAAGTCCTTAATAGAAGGGAAGGTTATAAGGCGATGGAAGGAGAAAATGTATTCAACTATTTCTCCTCCTACTTTACCTTATTTATCACCTCTTCCTTATCCACTCTTACTTTTCTTTGACGTCTGTCGTTTCATTCTTTCTCTTTCTTTTAAGCATACATTCTTTTATTAATACCTATCTCTTTCTTTCTTTCTCTCCCTCTCTCACTTCCTCCTTTTCCTACAAATTCTTAATCTTTCTCTTTCATTTTCTTCCTTTACATCACATTTTTTGCCCTTTCCACAATATCGTCTTCATTGACCTTCTTTTTGCCAACCTCCACCGACTCAGGTTTTTCTCTTATTTCATATTACATTGCTTTTCCTCTCCTCCTTCCCCTCTTCCTCCTCCTCCTCTTTTCTTATGCTTTTCTTTCTCCTCCTTCTTCAATTCATCTGCCCTCTTCTTACCATTCTTTCTTCTTTATTAGTCTTGACTATGCCGATAAACTAAACCTGTTAACAAGGCCTCTAATCAAGAGATTGAAGGTTTTGAGGAGCGTGGGACAGCTTCTTAATTTCTATTATTCCCAGGTTTACCCTAATCCAGGGTGGCAGTACCTGTTAGGGTCCCAGCTACGGGCAAATAGTGAACCCCGAAACAAAAACAAAACACTATGAAAGTATAAAAATACATTTTTATTTATATTGTAAAAATGCCAGCAATATATAAGACGTATTCGACGTCTGAAAGTCAAGCAGCTCAGTTACTAAGAACCGATTGCAAGACACCAGCACGTATGAACTGATTATAATGGTGAAGACTTTGTGCACAACCAACCATACTTTTTGAAGGGCCGAATACAGGTTTTGAATTGAGTTGTCCTTCTCCTAGACCAGTTGCCCTCCAAGGCTATAGAATCCATTCTGTCCTGCTATTTACCCATAGCTGGTGGGGTGAGAAGAAGAGGATTCATATATTTCCCAAGGGAATTAGCATGTAAGTGAATGTAATGGAATTCGACTTGATTTCGAACTCGGCTCTCCGATTCCTCAATCTGAGCCGCTATCCATTACAAGCACAACTGACTATTAAAGGATGAGAAATTTTCGCGGATTTTGACGTAATTTTTCACCCGTCCGAATCCGTGAATTTATTTTGCTCATGCTAAGTTCCACAAAAAAAAACACTATATAAAATTTAATATTTTTTTATCTGGAATGTTGAATGTTCATCAAAATTTGAATTCATCAACTTTTTAACAAGAAAAATCTCAATTGGATTTTAAAAATTGCCGCTAAATATTGTTTTATTTAGGATGGAATGGCATATTATGACATGTTTCTAATTTGTATTTACATACATTGTATTTATTTTCAATCTTTCTAATTGAATTGTTCATCTGATTGATATTGATATTACATAGCAGTTCAGCACTCTTTTCTTTGTTTTTAATTACATTTTCTCATCTCTTAATACTTTGCTTAGTTTCTGAAAGGCATGAGGAAATTGTTCATCATTCACTGTCATATAAAAGATTAGATATTACATAGCAGTTCATCACTCTTTTCTTTGTTTTCTAACAGCCTTTTCTTTTTTTCCGGTTTCTTAATACTTTTCTTAACTTATGAAAAGCATCTTTCGCTATCCCAATGCGCCTTCGAATTTCAGCGTTGCATTTTCCAACCTCTGTTAAAACACTTCCCAGACAGTTAAATTTCTGCACTTGTGCCCTAGAAATTTCAGTTGTCTCTTTCTGATTTTAAATATAAGTGTCCTTTTTTGTTATCATTTTTTAAAAACTTCCTTGTTCCATCTCATGTCACACATGATCCGTCTATGGTATTCTTAGCGTCTCTGCGTAAAGCCACATCTTTGTTACTTGAACTCTCCTCTTCATCTGTGAGAGAATGGGCCAGGATAGGGCTTGTATTCAGCTCTATGCAAGATTCGTTCTAATACTATCCCTCCCACTCGCTGTTCTGTCATCCATTTTACACAAAGGCAGGTTACTCACTGTTTCCATCCATTCCTCTTGCCTTCACTATGTTTTATGCGTGTCAAAGTTTTCGAAGCCCCCCTTTTTCCTCTTTATGTACTCCAGATTTTTCAACTCTTTATATTTCTAAGTATACACCACCTTTGTGCAAATTAATTGAAACAAAAAGAATAATTCCCTTATTATTTACTTTTCTATCGGATTTTTCTAATGAAACATGACCCAGTGCACATGTTAGTACTTCCATTCCACAAAGTCGTTCCTTGAGGATTGACCACAGACTCTCGATTGGATTTAAATCAGAATTTCCGCGTCAGTCTATAGTACTTTGATTTGCTCACTGGTAAGGCTTGCCAGTGTGTTCATGTAGCGTTACAATTTTCGTACGCTTCCTTAGAGTAACGTCCATCGCAGACAATGGCAGTCGGGACAATAGTGTCTGAGCATTATAAAAATCTGATGCAGTCACGGCTGACGTAATATTTTTCAAGGCCAAACAAATTTCATCATATACCCAGAAAAATGAACTAATATGAGGAAAAAAGAGAAATCGATTACACTCCAGTGGATCTAAAACTGACCGTATGATGAAAGAAAGAAAACTAAATCAGTTGTTTCAATTAATTTGCACAAGGGTGTAAGCGCCCTTTTTGCTGCCATTTACCTCAAAACTTCCTCAGTGTTTGCATGCACCTTCCATGGTACTCTTCTTGTCCTTCTGTAGAAGCACACATCTTTCTCTTGCCTCCTATCTGCTCTTTACCTGTGAGGAAATTGTCGCGTATTAACTGTCATCGGAGTATTAATATTCAGTCATTTAAGTGCCATACGTGATACACGCTTGGGCGATCATGTAGCTTTCGATTCATGACTGACGAGGCAGAAGATTTTTTAAGCTGTAGGTTTCCATTCCTTTCTGCTGAATACTGATTGCCAACCAAGGATAAAGAACCTTCTATTCAAACAATAGCTTTCCCAAGAATATTTGTGCATAATTAAATCTAACGAACTCGACTAGAATTCGATCTCGGCTCCGAGTTCTCACTCCGAGCCGATATCCTATTCATTACGCCACAACGATATTACTTCAATTGATATTACTTTAGCCTTTTCCTTCTTCCTAATGTAATTTACCTGCTTCTTCTTTGTTTAGCTTTTGGAAGGCTTACCAAATTTTTTATGTTGATTTTATAAGGCTATAGTATTAGAAACAAGTCTCTTAAATGTTTTTTTTTTTTTTGGAATATTTATTCAACGCCTAAGATCATATTGTATTTTTTTATCACGGAACAAATCGAGGTCAATACTGATAAGAAAAGGCAGCGGGCCAACTATCTGACGAGCTTGTGTGTATTCATAGCGGAACGGAGACGGAGGACTTAGCAAAAGGGGAACATTTCTAAGGGTTACAAGGTAAACAAGGTCTTAGTGATCCAGGATCTCTAATCTTGTGAAAGTACACGGCCCGGAGAAGAAAAGGATATATTTAAAAATAAAATCAATGTATTAATATTTGAAAAGGGAATTATATTCGTGTTAATCAGTGTTTATCAACCGAGATGCATATGAAGACTTGGGATTCATGTAACATTACTGGAGATACACCCCAAAAATAGCAAATTGGGGGTCCACGGTAACATTTTAGTGGTCTATAGAGCAATCTCTCTTCGGAACGGTTGTTACGACTGAGAACTGGAATTTCTACAGTCATCTTATTAAATACTAAGAATAGAAAAAAACAATTCTAAAATTATCAGAAAATGAGATCCTTATTGAACTGCAAAATGATGAATTATTGCAAGTAAAATTCAAAGATGGGAAGCATATTATATGAAAATGGAATGATACTGATAAAAAATATCCCTACTCTGGGTAAAAGCACAAATCTACGTCATTGCTTTTCCGTCATCTTACCTTATTGAATCAGGTTATAGTCGGTATTTACTAAACCCCTGCCCCAGCCAGGGTACATATGGCACAAAGCCGAGTTTAACGTGGGTCTTCCGAGCCCGTAAGCTCGGGCAAAAATTCCCCGTGGAACGCGCATAAACGGGATCGGTTCAGTCTACCTCCCCGAACGTGACTCTGCCCTTTGGCAGAGCCTCGTCCGGGTTCCTCTCTGCCCGAAGTTCGACCGTCTAGCTGGAACAGATCCCAACTAGTCTTTGAGTTTTGAATCACATTATAGTCGTGTGTCTCACTTAAAATCAAAATCCCTTAATAGACTCGGCATTGTGTAAAGGGGTGATCTTCGACTAACATTGACACCGATGGAGCCGAATAAAAAGCTCGCAGAGCAGCATAAACTACAGTGATCTCATTGAATATATCTGCACCCTCTTCTACAATGGGTTGTTGAGAATGGAAGCAAATCCTGATGCTTACAGCAACACATACAACAAACTCGGTATCTTTTATTGGGCTGACCCAATTTTCTGTTACACTCCCCTTATTCAGACCGATAAAAAAAACTTCCGAGTTGGTTGTATGCGATGATGTAATCACCAAGAGTTGCGTCCTCTCTCAAGAACCCCTTGTGGAAGAGGACGCAATTTCTGGTTCTTACAGCATCGCATACAACCAATTTGGAGTCTTTTATCGGGCTGACCCGATTCTCTGTTAGTTTATTACGAGTAATTTAACTACTCTACATAAATGCTCCATAGGCTTTAGTTGTTAACTATAAGTTTATTGGAATTAAATTAGTTTTACTTCAAAATAAAACATTTACTATTTCTATAAAACAATTCCTAAAGTATTAGTAATTAAATAAAATAAGATTTTTTTCATCGCCTGGTTATAGGGCCCACCAAAAATGCAATTATAGGGCCCAGCAACAAAATTAAGAGGAAAAGTGGTCTATGGATAAAAAAAAAAGATCGAGAACCACTTAATTTAAATGCAATTGAATTTACCTTAGGGATAATTTTTCGTCTCACTGTATACACACAAACTGTTTTATACGGGGTGTGGCAGAAATACCTCCCATATATACCTCCCAGAAATACTTCCTACATAATGGTAAGACATTAATGGCAATGGTGTCTTCACCTAGCAAATGTCTTACCATTATATGTGATGTATTTCTGGGAGATATGTATGGGAGATATTTCTGCCACGACCTGTAGTGATTTTCCAAGCGCAGCTTAGATGTGGCACAAGGCCGAAAGTAGGGGTACCCAGTGAGGATAGAACTCAGTACTAAGTCGTAAAGTCGTAATTGTTCTAACGAGACAAGCTTGCTAACCATTGCAGCGCCTTGAGGTGCCCTATTCTGTCGTGCGCTGTATATATGGATTATTATGTAATATTTCGATATATTCTTCGGTCTCATTATGCATGTCTGGACACAGAGGCAAAAATGCATATTTTCCGGGAATCAAATTTTCAACAACATTTTATTGAATTGGAATATTAACAAATTACAAATGATTTGCATAATTTCTGATGCGAAGGTTGATGCGCTTTGCAAAATTCACGTGGACCCGATGCAATAATTCCACATTGTCGTCTATTTTAGCAGATTCACTCTTTATGCGTTTAATCAAGCGTGTTGCATCTGTGAGTTTCATTGAGTACACCTTTTCCTTTAGTATACCCCAGAAAAAATAGCTAACTCTTTTTCTTTTTTTTTTTTTTTTTTTTTTTTTAACAAAACCATGTTTAATTTGTGGAGGTTAAAAATATAGTTAACTTCCTGTTTCCAGACTTTAGGGACACAATGTACATTGAATAATTGTTCTCGTCTTGGATGTTATATAGTATATTTATAGAGAGAAAGAGAAAAACGTTTCGGCCGTACACAGTCCGGTTTTAATCAGGGGTTGATTTTCTGATATTATTTTGTTCATGTAATAACGTTTCTTGCTCGTTTCTGCTGAACCCAGAATATATAGATGTTTATTACCCGATAGAGGGATTGAACTCACAACTATCAGTTAAATACAACAGCTCTTTGGCTAACCATCATATCCACTAGGCCACCGTCTTGCCAGACATTTAGCGTCATTTGGAAGTTTTGTAAAGCCTTTTTTGCATCAAATGTCATATTGATTGATATTCATTATAAGGTCTTCTTTTTATAGTCATTAACTAAGCGTAACTTTGATAGAGTACAAGGTTCACTAGTCAGTCATAATTGAAAAGAAAAAGAAAACGAGTAAGAAAGAAAAAAGAAGAGATGGTTGCAGGGTTTGTTTTGTTGCTATACATATCAGCCAATCCGAATAGCCTACGCTATGGGGAGAAGCGAAAGTTAAGAAGCGATCATATGTAAGGGGTCAGGATCCGCAGATTTAGGCAGGTAGACGGTATCCAGACGTCGTATACGGTCGGATGTAAATGGCTACGATGTTATACACTAGACGATGACATTTCCTAGGAAAGATGAAAGTTAATTTGTTCTTACTCTTTTTCTTTTCCTCGTGAAAAGATGGTGTATCGTATGTCTCTTACTTAACGTTTTTCTTTTTCTTCCCTTTTCTCGTGAAAAGATGTTGTATCGTATGTCTTTCTTTCGTAACGTTTTTCTTTTTCTTCCCTTTTCTTGTTAAAAGATGTTGTATCTTGTTTTTAAATCTCAATAAATTGTCTACTCACCAGTTACTTATTAACGCCTGATGAGATGTGTTAATACTCATCGAAACATGATTGCAATTGTGTAGCGTTTTGTTTTACATGTTTTTGACTTAATATCCTAAAATAAAGTATATATATATATATATATATATATATATATACTTTAAAAATCAGGAGGTCAGTTGATTTTTGTTATGAGACCTTACCCATAATAACATAATGGACTATTCCATACGTAATAAATACTGCGCCTCAAGAGGAAGCAGGGGGTTCCGTCTGAAGTCTAGAGTTCAGTCTGAAGTCTGGAGTGAGGTCCGTCAGGAGTCTGTCAGTCAGTCAGAGCGAGTCAGTCAGTCAAGTCAGAGGCAGTCCGAAACAGAGTCGCGTTCAGACAATTACTACTAAACCTGATTGTTCATACTAACACTTTCTACTTCTCTGTATATATTCCTGTTTGTAATATATCTGTGCTATTCCATATCCGTGTTCGACTTTTTCTTTATTGGTTCTACCTTGGACTATCATCGTGGTAAAAGGAACCGGACCATAACAATTTTTAAAGTTAAAAGCTTTACATATTATTTTTACTTTCATTTTATTTTTTCACGCGTGTATTGAGCACTTTTTAATATTACTGTTGCCTGGTCTGATCCAATTCTGACCATTAACCTAAAAAGTGATTTTCGCAGGAACGTCTTTTAAGTTTTTGAATTTCGAGTAACTACACAACATTTCGCTTTTGTTTATCATCGCTTGCCTGGATAAAGTCGGAGAATGAAACGCGTTGGCACAACTAGATACTGTTTTCCGATTGTCTATTTTATTCAATTTGTCTTTTCTACAGATTTATTCTGAGAACTTTCACACACACACACACACACACACACACACGCCTGCGCGCGCACTCAATATAATTAGAGGAGCAGAGAAAAAGAAAGAGGAGATAAAATTTCGGCTGTGTCCCCTCCAGCTATTCAGGTGTCCATTTAGCTGATAGAAAATGGCACCTCCTTATCTCAAAAGTTCAGACAGAAAGTCTCTTCGACTTGTTATCTTATTAATCAGCCAATATTTTCAGTACGTCGACAATATTCACTTTTGAGTTTTGACATCATTCTCAGAAAAAGAAAAAACTGTGACGAACAATTTTCAAAAGTCACGCCGGTTTTGAATCAAATAAGCAAAGTTCAGCCATACTTGCTTCAGTTTATTTCGTTCCCGCTGTTGAATTGGAAGAATGAAACGTCTGCTTCAAGACATTATTTTTTAAATAAATTGAAGAAAATTTCTTTAAAATCCAACGTAATTTGTTTTTGTCTGCAGCCAAGAAGTTAATGGATGGCGAACAGATAAAATAAGTGCATAAATAAAACTAGATTACTTATTTTATCTACTTTCGTATGATGGTCGCCATATTTGTTTCGACTCAGTCTAATCGAGCAAGTTATGAAATGATGGATGAAATGTGATCAATAAATGAACGAAGTTTATTGGCTGTAGCAAATTTCTAAAAATTATTTTAAAACAAAAAAGATTGCTGGAAGTCCAATGAACTTTCGTAAGAGTTTGGAGCCACTTTCGTGAAAATCAAATATGGGAATAATCCTCACTTGGTCCACCAAGTCACCCATTAGGTGGCGCTGTTTCAGGACTGTAACAACTGGGACATAATCTTCCTCCTTTCTCTTATTTTTTTTTTCTTTTTTCATCTAGAATCAGGTAGGTCGTGGATGCTCTTCTCCCTCGCTGAGATAGATTTCTTTCTCCCGGGCGACTGAACTTTTACACACACACACACACACAGAAGTGAATATCACACACGCAGAAGTTCATTCGCAATTCTTAATGTTAGGTTTTTAATGGTTTTTTTTTCAGCGGTACACACTAGTATATATTCTCTCTCTCTCTCTCTCTCCTTTGTTTTTTACGGCTTATCAACCTTTTGCAAGTTATTTAAGAGTAGAAAATATTTCTAAATTCTAAGAATTTTTTTTTAAATAACAATGATTTTTACTGATACAAGTTCTATCAATTAACCCATAGCCGGGGAAAGAAGAGATGGATTCATATCTTTTCCACTGTATTTGCGTGTAAATAAATATAACACACCTGGCTGTTCTAATTCAGTCGGGTGCGTTATATTTACTTACGCCCTAATATATTCCGAGCTGTTATCCATTACACCACCCACACATCCAACCTGACAGCACATGGTATTCCCAAGCTGTCACCCATTTAGGTACTGACCAGACTCGACGTTGCTTAACTTCGGTGATCCTATGAGAAGGTGATATGGCCGTAAGACAACACAACCTGAATATCGAGCTAAGAAAATGTATGTATGTATGTATGTATACTGTGGCCTTGTTAGGGGCCAGAAATAAAGACACAAAGAAAGGAATTGAGTTAAACAAATATATTAACAGAAAAAGTAATACAAACATATACAAACGAGAGTGTTACAGCAAGAATGTTCGGTCTGACTGTCAGGGCTGATTGCTGGAGACTTCCATCTTCAAAAGGCAGTACCTGCTCCTATTTAGAGCTGAGAGAGTCCATACGTGCGTGTTTAAATTACTATATCATATGTATAGCTGGTCACACGTATTCGAGGATACCCGTCTACTTTATTCAACACTGACAGAGCCCACCTGTGGTTTATACTGCAACTATGTTGAGCAGACCTTAGTTACAGTTTCTGGGAAAGAGCGTGTTAACTAGCGTGATCAACAATTTGAACAAGGCCATCACGCTCAAGCACTCGGCCATGATGACTTGTGACTTCGTGCTAGCACAGCTTTCAACGGCCCTCAAGGGTTCCATCTACCAAATTTCACTCAAAAGCTTTGGGTCAACCCGTGGTACGGTTTTCAGGCACATTCCAACGTGCAGCACGCTGGGGTCGACCCCTCAAGTCCGATAAAATCAACAAGTCTCCTTCCTGGCAAATTGACCATGGTGAGGTTCGAACCCGGGTCTCATGGTGAGAATGCGAACGCTCTAACCACTCGGCCACCTACTAAAAAAATGAAGAAAAAAACAATGGATACGCAAATAAAGCAATAATATTTTTCTTATTTTATTTGCTTAAATCTTTGGCTTTCCTACTTACCACCTTCCCGTTTTCACTTACGTTTGCATTATGTTTTAAAATTTTACAGGCAGCCACATTATCGCCGCCATAACGTAGCTTCACCATGCCTTGTCTATAAATACTTTCATGGTAAAATGTTTTGTTGAACTCTCCTGTATGTTACCTAGACTCAATGAATTTAAGCGCATTACTAGATTGGCAGCAAAGTCTCATCATTTTGCAGTTGAAATGGCTAGATGTAGCCATAAGTTTTTCTCTCACTTCTAACTTGTGACACATCTGGCTTCTTGCTTTTCAGTCAAATTTGAGCTTCAAAGACGATAAACTACATCTGACAGCGAGGTCTCTGGTCAGGAGGTTTTGAACCACCTATTAATTGCTGGTGTTCCCAGGTTCACCTTGACCCGGAGTGGTAGCACCTGTTAGGGTACTAGCTATGGGCAAATAGTTAACACCAAACTGAGGTCAAAACGCTATGAAAGTATAAAAATAGGTTTTTGAACACCAGCAATACATCTTTGTAAAAGATTTTTTACCAGCAATGAATTTTTTAAGAAATATTATTACCAGCAATACATTTTTGAAAAGAAATATTACCATCAATATATTTGTGGAAAAAATATTACCGGTAATACATTTTTGAAAAGAAATATTACTAGCAATACATTTTTAAAGAAAAATATTACCAGCAATACATTTTTGAAGAAAAAATATTACCAGCAATACATTTTGGGAAAAAATATTACCAGCAATACATTTTTGATGAAAAAATATTACCATTAATAAAAATCTTGTCGGTATTAAATAATCCGTTGAAGTTGATATGCCGTAAAACAAACGAAACCAAACTCAATCTCTCAACGCTGAATTTCTTGTACTTTGACAAATGGACAACACAGAAATGGCATTATTGTACTAACGACTTTTATAAAATAAAGCTTATTTTATTAAAAGAGTCTATACACCATTGTATTACCCCAGTAGTTATAAAATCCCTTCTATCCCGATAAAACTTTTTATCACTATGGATTAATCTTAAGTAAAATAAGCCAATTAAAACCACAATCATCTTTGCTTTAGAAACATCTCCAGGTAAATGACTACCCCACCCAAGGGTTGGCATATCATAAAATTAACCAACCTTTACATCTTAGTCAGATCAGGCCCCAAAATGGTTTATTGCTACTATATCTAGAAAGGGTGCTACACCTTCCTCACTGTCCAGTCTTCCAATCCCTCTCTCAGAGGTGAAACGTGGCTAGCCTCTCGCCACTCTATCGCTATTTCTATGGCAAATGTTCAGACGAGTTGCATTCTTTAGTTAGGGCCCACCACGTCACGTACACACCGGCAACTCATCCTAGTTACCTTCGAATTCTTTGGTAAGGAGTTAGTTCCACTCAGATAGCTTCTTCCCCGGAAATGTCACTTAGTGCAACAAACTCCCGAGAAGATGCACCCCACGACCACTACAACCTTTTCAAACCTAGGGTCTAGGGTCAACCATTATCTATCCTTATAATATCAACCTTTACCTCCTCATTTTACGCCAATCTCAACTATCTACCTTGAATGGCTCTTGAGCCTTGTATTAGGTGAACGGACAAATTGTCATTTGGGCTATTATTAAGTTAAACTCGTGAAGTGTTTATTTCTGGGAAATCGCGGATAACAGATACTGCGGGAAGCAAAATCGCGGATATGAGGGGATGACATTATTTCGTCTAATATTATATCCTAGACAGAAGTTATTGGAGAATCTAAATTGCACAAGGAGTTTATAGACACATTGCATCGGTCTACTTCGTTTCTGTTATCGATCAGCGTGCATAAGGGCGGAAATTATATCCTTTTGTTTGTTTGTTTTTTTTTTTCAACAAGCAGAAGCGTCTGTGATATTTTGCAAACTGCTTACACAACAGGAGTTAATGATCAATATTTTTAACGAAATAATGCCTTGTCTGGATACAAATTTTTCACGTTAACTGCATTTTGGGTAGCTAAATACTGATGCTCATAGTTGGCAGGTAAGCTCGATTCGCTGGGGAAACTGGCGTATCACAATCTTCCCCGCCTTATACCTCTCTTTGTGCAGTACGATGCACGCTACAAACTGGAGACATCAAAATCGAGCAATTACAAAAATTTTAAATATTTGGAATATATTTCAACAGAGGACTAAAAGTGCGCCACCGAAATCCGAAGGTGCCTTCGAATAAAGTTAAGCAAATGATTAAAAAACGGGAAAACGTCATTAGAAACAAAAAGAAAAAGTGCTGGAATGTTATGTAATATTGGCCTTCCTAAATGGTAGTGAATGCTAAACAATCTCTTCACAGATGAAAAAAGAGACCAGAGAAAACAGAAATGTGGTTCTACAGAAGGATACTGAGAATACTATGGGCTGAACATGTGAGCAACAACGAAGTTTGATAGAAAATGGCGACAAAAGGACAATTATACTTAACATCAGAAAGAGATAGTTGAAATTTCTAGGGCACGTAATTAGGAAAGAGGGCTTAGAAAATTTAACACTCACGGGAATGCTGAACACAAGTGGGACATAAAAAAGCAGTAATGTACCTAACGAACTTTTACAAATAGTTGACAGTACAGGGATTAGGAGAGATAGCTAAAAGACAAAATTTACTAAAAGCGTTCATCTATCTAGATTCAAATTCAATGACGTAAGCCTTCAAAACTGTGCAGAAGTTATGGTAATTTACAGATAAGAAAAAGAAAGTTTGGGGAAAGTCGTGCCAGCCAAAGAAATGAAATCTATTTTCAAAATTTATAAACTACCTCCACTAGAATTCGAACTTTGTTACTCTTTCCTGTCTCAACTTCATGTCATGTGCGTGTATGCAAAACCGTCCTATAAATATGTAATGTTCTGAAATGGAACGTTTCGTTGCTCACTTCAGACTACGTTTTTTTTTTCAGGTGTTCTATTAACTGAGCGATAAAAATAATTCGTGACGTTACCTGTCTGAAAAATTATCTTAAATCGATAAAAAAAATGATGGTTTGTTTTTTTCTCAAGTCACTGAAAGACAGAAAAGCATATTTCAAGTTTTTTCTCTTTTTATACATTTTCTTTATTTTTCCGAGCTTCGTTCTTTCTTTCTTGTTTGTTTTTCTTTCAGTTTCCAAATTTATATTTTTATTTTATTTACTTCTTTATTTCTTCGCTTTTTTTATATTTCTTTCATTTTTTTCTTTACTATTTATTTTAGTTTTTTTTTCGTCTTTTTAATCTTTCTTTCTCTTATTTTTTTTTCATTTTCCTTTTACTCATCTTTGTTTCTGTTTTATATTTCTCTTTCTCTGGTCTTTTTTTCTTTGTTTTTTTTTCTCACGCTTTTTTCTTTCTTTTTTCTTTTATTTCTATTTTTTATTTCTATTCCTGTTTTATTTTCTTTGTTTTATGTCTTTCTTTTTGACTTTCATTTTTTCTTTTCTTCGTCTTCTTTTTTCTTTTTTATCTTTTCTTTATTCTTTGTTTTTATTTTGGTTTCTTTCACCTTCATTTTTCCTTATACCGTGGTGTTCATAAATAAAATAAATAAAAATAAAATAAAAAATAATAAAATCAGAATAAAATAAAATAGAGTAAAAAAATAAAAGAAAAAAATAAAAGAAAAATAAAAGGAAAAAGAAAAGACAAAAGGAAAGAAAAAATAAAAGAAAAAGAAAAGAAAAGAAAAAGAAAAGAAAAGAAAAATAAAATAAAAAACAAAAAATAAGATAAAAGATAAAATTAAAATAAAATAAAAAATAGAAATAAAAATAAAATAAAAAATAAAATAAAAAACTATCTATACTGTTATTTTGTCGTGCAGATAAAAAATAAATAAATAAAAACTAATTATAGTGTCAAAAATAATTATAAATAAATAATTATAACAATTATAATTATCATTAATTCACTTATTCTAAACCAATGGGAATCGATACGACTTTTCTTCTCCGCACACACAAACACGTGACATTCTCACTATCGGACAAGCAGGTCACACGAACAGGTCGTCAAAACATGCGTCAAGGAAAATTTAATCTCCTTTTTACTTTTTCAGGCCATAATAATAAAATGTATCTTACCATTCACCAAAAATCCGAGGTAAAAATATCCAGATACTTCTTGTATTTTCTAAGTAAATTATCTTGACACACATCTATAATTATAGAACAAA